TGATATTAAAGAAGGATGGAGGGAACACCAACTTAAAGCTAACAAGACATTGAACCACATCATTCTGTAGAGTAGCTAGTTCCACTTGATTGATTGCCTTCTGAGAAATTGCATTGAGGAATGCACATAGCTTCACGGTGGCTAGACGTACATGTGGAGGTAGAATTCCTCTTAAAGCAACTGGAAGCAATTGCGTCATAATCACGTGACAGTCGTGGGACTTTAAGTTTAGGAATTTCTTATCTGGCACATTTATTATACCCTTTATATTGGAGGAGAATCCCGATGGGACCTTGATGCTGCTTAGACATTCGAACATGCTGTCCCTCTCTTCTTTGCTAAGCGTGTAGCTAGCAGGACTTAAGTAATAACGTCCATCATCTGTCTTCTCTAGATAAAGGTTGTCTCGTTCTTTCATGCCCTGCAAGTCCTGGCGTGCTTCAAGTGAATCCTTTGGCTTCCCGTACACACCCATGAATCCTAACAGGTTCACACAAAGATTATTTGTCAGGTGCATCAAGTCGATTGCGTTGCGGACCTCTAGGACTTGCCAATAGGGTAGCTCCCAAAAGATGGACTTCTTCTTCCACATGGGTGCGTGTCCCTTAGCATCTTTGGGAATAGATTCACTGCCTTGTCCCTTTCCAAATACTACTTTCACATCCTTGACCATTGCGAGTACATCTTCCCCGGTTCGGTTATGAGGCTTCTTCCGGTGGTCTGGCTTACCTTTAAAATGCTTCCCTTTCTTTCTTACTTGGTGATTCAAAGGAAGGAATCGACGATGGCCAAGGTACACGACCTTTCGACATCTTTTCAAATATATACTGTCAAGGTCATCAAAACAATGTGTGCATGCATTATATCCTTTGTTTGTCTGACCTGAAAGATTACTTAAAGCAGGCCAATCATTGATTGTTACGAACAACATTGCTCGTAGGTCAAAGTGTTCTTGTTTGTACTCATCCCAGACACGTACACCTGGTTTGTTCCATAAAACTAGAAGTTCTTCAACTAATGGCTTCAGATAGACATCAATATCGTTGCCAGGTTGCCTCGGACCTTGGATGAGGATTGGCATCATAATGAACTTCCGCTTCATGCATAACCATGGAGGAAGGTTGTAGATACATAGAGTAACTGGCCAAGTGCTATGACTAGTGCTCTGCTCTCCAAAAGGATTCATACCATCTGTACTTAAGGCGAACCTTAAGTTTCTAGCCTCATTTGCAAACTCTGAAAATTCCCTGTCTATCGCTCTCCACTGGGACCCATCAGTTGGGTGTCTCAGCATATTGTCTACCTTACGGTCTTCTTTATACCACCGCAACAACTTTGCATGGTCTTTATTTCTGAACAAACGTTTTAAGCGTGGTATTATAGGAGCATACCACATAACCTTAGCAGGGATTTTCTTTCTAGGAAGTTGTTCACCCTCGACGTCACCAGGATCATCGCGCCTGATCTTATACCGCGATGCTTTACATACCGGGCATTCATCCAAATTCTCGTATTCATTGCCATGGTAGAGGATGCAGTCATTAGGACATGCATGTATCTTCTGGATTTTTAATCCCAAAGGGCAGACAACCTTTTTTGCTTCGTACGTAGTGGTGGGCAATTCATTTGGCTTCGGAAGCATCTTCTTTATGAGGTTTAATAAATTCCCAACTGCCTTGTCGGATACACCATTCTTTGCCTTCTACTGTAGCAATTTCAGTGTTGTACCTAGCTTTTTTTGCCCCTCTTCGGCCGTTGGGTATAGCAACTTCCTATGATCCTCAAGCATGTGCTCAAACTTAACTTTCTCTTTTTCACTTTCCCATTCTTGTTGTGCATCACGAATGGCATCGCCAAGAGCATCACCGAGATCATCTTCTACCGCTACCTCTTCTTCATCTCCCCCCATTGTAGTATCATCAAAGGCACCATACTGAGCAATAATGTCATCAATGTCTAAATCTTCTCCTTCACCTTCTTCCATCATGACCCCGCTTTCTCCATGCTTAGTCCAACATATATAGTTTGACATGAAACCTGACTTAAGCAAATGTGAATGAAGACTCATTGAGCTTGAATATTCCTTTAAATTCTTACATAGGGCACATGGACAGCACATGAAACCATCCCGCTTATTTGCCTCGGCCACACCTAAGAAATAGTGCAAGCCCTCAATAAAGTCTTGGGAGCGGCGATCGGCATTGTACATCCAATGTCGTGACATAATCTGTATTACACGACAAATTATGAAAACCTTGAACATAATTAAGTATTTTATTACACAACATAAATGACACACACACGGTTGATTAATTAACTAAGCCTGGCTACAACGTAAGCAATCCCAACTATCACTAAACAAACTAAAACTACAATGCACTTCAGTAACATAATTATTTCGTGATCGTACGCAACTAAAACAAATAAATCATTCTTCTGTTGAATATCAATAAGCTTCTCCTGCTGGCTCACTGCCTCATCAGCAGCAGCCGAATTCTGCACGTATGTAGCATAATCTTCCTCCCAGTACCAACCATCGCATCCATTGCCCTCCCACTAAAATTAAAGCCAAAAATTATTTAGTCAAAAATATTCAAGAAAAGCAGGTCAATTAGCCATAATAATCAAATGCGTAAGAAACTCACATCGCGATCCGGGCACTTGTAGAAAACACGACCCTTGTTGGGTCCCTGTCTCTTGACTCGGTACTCCATCACAATCTTCTGCTTACACTTGCCGCAAATAATGAGAGGGGGTTCTGGCCTCAGTCGTTTTGCAACCGAACGAGAGGCCGAGGATCCGGTACCAGTTGTCATCTGCTTTCTATACTTATTTTTGCAAACTACTGTAAATTTTATATTTTCTAAAATAATATATTTAAACAAAACTAAAATTATTTATTTATCTAACTAAACCATGAAATATGTACTATGTATAATAGTAAAATACCAAACTATCAAGTGATTTTACTATTGTAAATCATCATGTGATTTTGAGCTAAAAATGACAAAGAAATCACATAGCTCAAAAACATGTTTCAATAAATAACTATCCGTACTAGTTGACCTTGCTTACGTGATCATCTCGGCGAGCATTTCTCCACCGGACGGCACCGTACTTGGCCAAGGAAGAGCTCCGATTCTACGAGGAAGGGAACATGGTCTTCCACGACCGTTGCCGCTCTCCCTCGTAGAATCAAAGCTCCTCCTTGACGTCCATTACCGCTCGGCAGAGAAAATGCTCGCCGAGATGATCACGGTCCGCAAGTTCAAGTAGTACGGATTTTCTACAATTTTCTAACTATTTTCTAAGTTTTTCATTTCATGGAAAAATTAATTCTAAGATCACGTAAGCCGCCGGGGACGAGGATGGCGCGTGCTCTAGCGAGGACGAGCGAGGCGTGATTTTGATGAACTAATTTAACTTTTGTTTATCCAAACATATATGCAAATCATCATGTGATTTTGAGCTAAAAATGATATAAAATCATAATAAAGTCCAACATATAAAGTTACACATGCATCTACATCGCAAAATGAGATAAGCTACTGATAAAACATAAGAGGATTAAGTTTGTTACCTCCAAAATCGAAGAGCAACACCAATGGAGGGGGAGAGAGCAAGAACAACAACAAGCTGAAGAACAGAGCCAGTGAGTTTGAATGGAATGGCTCGGGCTCGGGGAGGAAGAAATGAGCCGGTGTATAGGCCAGCATAATTAGTCCCGGTTAGGTGGCCAAACCGGGACTAAAAATTAATATTTATTCCCGAGGTATCACCCAAACCGGTACTAAAACCGTTAGTCCCGGCTGGTATTACCAACCGGGACTAAAGGTAACCTTTAGTCCCGGTTGGTAATACCAGCCGGGACTAAAGATCCCTGCCACGCGGACGATCGTTGGGCAGGGACCTTTAGTCCCGGTTGGTATTACGAACCGGGACTAAAGGGTCCTTTAATCCCGGCGGCAAAAAATGCCGAGACTAATGCCAAATTGGGACATCGTTCTAAAGTCTGTTCTCGTAGTGAAGCTTGTCACCGCCATCATCGAGCTAGGCGCGCGGAGAAAAGCATGGAAGGGTCAATGGTCAAAGAAGGGTGGTCAAAGAAGAGCGACTCGCCGCGCACGTACCGGTGCTGCTCCATCCCCTTGTTGTGCAAAAGGATGCAATCACACATACAACATGCATGTGTGTCAGCATGTGGGGTGGACTAACCAAGGTCGCCGGCCATTAGATAGTAAAAGATGCAACAACTACTGTCACAGTAATTACTCCTATGAGCGTGTATCATAAAGCAGCAGCTAGCTTCCCTATATATGCACCAACTGCAGTAGCATGTTGTGCTCTACAGCAGCGAGGCGAGGGGAGCCTCGGCATCCACAAGCTGCAGTCGCAATGAGAGAAGAGGGATGCAAGGAGAAGAGATGATCTATTCGTAAGAGAACAGCAAAGAGGAGTGCTTAAATGAAGAAAAATATGCCACGCTAGTATCGAGGTAAGGGGAGCCTCGGTGTCCACGGGCTGCGGTTGCCATGAGAGAAGAGCGAAGCAAGAAGAATAAAGCATCTATTTGTAAGATAAGAGGAAAGACGAGTGCTTAAATGAAGAAAAATATGCCATGCTAGTATCGAGGAGAGGGGAGCCTCGGCGTCCATGGACTGCGGTCGCCATGAGAGAAGAGCTATTCGTGAGAGAAGAGGAAAGATGAGCGCTTATACGTATAAAAATATGCCACGCTAGTATGCCACATTAGCTAGAAACGCCCACGTGGCTGTCATAGACATGTGGTGCACCACTAACAAGTTTAGGGACCAAAAAATATATTTTTAAAGTTCGCAGACTTAAAGTGACAATGCCCTTACATGTTTGAGTGCCGCTCATGCATTTAACTCTTTTGTTTTTCAAAGTATGAGGAGTAATAATAAACGATCCATATTGAGCATGTTGTTCTGAAATAAGAAAGTGAGAATTTGAGAGAGGCAACAAAAAGAAATGAGGAATCACCCAACCTGAGGAGGCTCATCCTCCACTTGCTGGCCATCCTGCTGTTGGTGATACTCCAGCAGCAGCTGTTGGTCCTGCTTCTGCTTCTCCTCTTCCTCGATCTCAAAGATCCTGTTTTGCACAAGCTCGTAGGAGCCTTCCTCCAGTACGCGCCACACATCAGGGCCAGGGCCCCCGTACACCTACAGCCGTATCAGAGAAAAAACCACAATCGATCAATCAGCTAGTGCATTCATTCAATCACACTCGAATTCAAGCGCCGATCGCCGCAAACACAAGCGAACGCCTTGCAACTGGCTGTTCACGGCACCAAAAAAGGCGGATTTCGAACCCCCAATCGATCATGAAACCCAAACCCTAAAATGCCGCCATAGACCGATGCTGCTTGCAGGGGGGGAAAAAGAAGAGACCTAATCGAAAATCACCTTGAGGAGATCAGCGACGACGGCCCTAATGTCGCGTGCGGCATAGCCCATGGCGCCGAAGTGGTCGATGGCCGCGTCGATCCGGCGGTTGCCCTTCCTGGGCCGCCGCGCCGGCATTGCTCTCCTTCCCTAGCTTCTTTTAGGGTTGTATACGAACGGTCGTCGGCTGGTTTTGGTTGCGGTTTGGGGCTTCGGCGATGCGGCAGTGCTACTCCTACAGACTACAGCCCTACTACTTCCGTTCCGGCCTCGGAATGGCACGTGACTCTCGCTGCCTCGTCAGCTCGGCTCAAAATCTCATCACCGCAGTCCGCATCACGTCAAAGCGGGGTGAGACGCTCCCTGTCAGGTGTATGGATCGGCCTGGCTTGTGGCTACTGGCTACGCCCTTCCTTTATCACTAAACGTCAAAGCGGGATTGCTTGTTAGATTGGAAATGATGATCTAGTTTTTTCAGGGTTCTAGAAAGAATGATAAAATTTTGAGGGGGGTGTAAATAATGACATGACCGAACTGGAATTTTGTGTTGGAATGAATTCTCGGGAGAAGTATTCGGACTGCCTGCTAATCTCGATTCCTCCTCTGCAGCTCGCTCTTCACCAGAGTCCCCAGACATGGAGTTCGAAGACCGCTGCCACAAGGTCCAGGAGCCCAAGTTCGACTGCCTGCTCTTCGGTAAGCCGCTCTGCTCTGCTTCCTGCAAAAATGTCGCCGCCCCGTTGCTGTCTTATTTTTGTTTCGTTCTGTTGTTGCCTTGTTCCCCTGCCCCTTCACGGAATGCAAAGGTTTTCTGACCTGTTTGTTCTTGCCTGCAGACCTCGACGACACCTGTACCCGCTGAGCTCCGGGATTGCAGGCCATGTCAAGAAGAACATTGAAGGTGAGATTCCTCTTCTCCTTCTGTTACTGGCTGCTGCTTGTTTTTTTACTGTCTGAACTTTCAGTGAACTGAATGCCTGCATCTTTTCACTTTTTCCATCATTCATTTCAGATTACATGGTTGAGAAGGTGGGTATTGATGAGAGCAAGATCGAGAACCTGGGCAATCTTCAGGTTATCAGGTACCTAAGATTGTCAACTACAAGTAGTATCTGTTTCCTTACATCGATATATGGTGATGCTAAATGTGTGTTGGGTAAACTTATATTATGTGTAGTGTGAAATTTTGAGCTGTGTTAACATATGCGTGAATGAATGTTCAATTACATGAGCAGATGTGTTTGAGAAATTTAGGGATGAGCAAGGGAACATTTCAAGTGATGATATCAGCAGCTTGCTGATGTTGTACGATGCTGCGCATCTGAGAACTCATGGGGAAGAGATATACTTGACAACAACATCACTTTCAACAAGAGCCACCTCCAGTCTCTGCTGCTAGAAAATTTGGAGCCAGAGCTACGAAAGGAGGTCCAGTGCATTTTGGAAACACCTCGGTTCAGGCGGGTCAAGACAGTGGAGACAAGGCGCTACATCTCAATATATGAGAAGAAGGCTACACGAGATGCGACCATACTGGAGTTTGCAAACTAGACTACAACATCTTGCACGCTATCTACTGTGATGAGTTGAAAGAACTTACAGTGTAAGGAAACCACACATTGGTATATATACTTAATTCATGTAACAATGTAGTTCGTAGTGACAATTTACTATATACTAAGTTGGTAGTAATAATTTACTTAATGGAGTTGCTTACTTATTAATTCACCAATAATGTGCAGTGTTCTAAACTGCTAATAATACACATTTACTTGATAATGTATAGATGGTGGAAGGAGTTCCAACAAGAATAGATCTAAGCTTCGCAAGGGACAGAATGGTGGAGCTACACTTTTGGATGCTCGGAGTGATTTTTGAGCCTTATTACTCATATTCATGGATAATGATGACAAAGATTTTTGTATTCGCAACCTCGTTGGATGACCTTTATGACAACTGTAGCACCACAGAGGAGAGTGATATCTTCACTACGGCCATGGAAAGGTTTGCCTACCTAGATATTCTATTATACATTTTTTAAGATAGATCACTCGTAGCTAAGATTAACAAAATTTATATATACATCACTAAAGTTTACCTTTGCTTGAAAACTAATGACAGGTGGGATGAAGAAATAAAAGAACAGATTCCAGCATACTTATGCACTCTTCATCAACATACGAAACACACTACAAATCAGATCGTGAAGGAGTTAAAACTTAAGAAAAACAAGAATGCTGAATTTGTCAAAAAACTGGTATAAGCTGCTCCAAAAGATCACATTAAGGAAACATGACGAGTTTTCTCAATTAGTTTTATCATCCTTATATTTATCTATTTAGGTGATTGACACTGCTAGATTCTACCATGCTGAGGTTAAATGGCGTGATGAACAGTTCATCCCAGCCAATATTGAAGAGCACCTCCAAATTTCCACCCGTAGCAGTGCTTGTATGCAGATGACAAATCTTGGCTTCATTTCACCGGGAGATGTGACTACAAGGGAGGATGTTGAGTGGGCTCTTACCTTCCCGAAAATCATTAGAGGTGCCTGTATTGTGGGGCGCGTCGGCAATGACATCGTCTCGCATGAGGCTTAGAGAATCTCTCAAACTATACATATAAAGTTCTTGTAAAAGATAGTTGCAAACCAGTTTCATCAGTAGTGTAAATGTTATATTTATTTACGCATTTAGACATTTTACATCTTTTATTTTCTACTGATTGTCCCTACGTACTTCTCGCTGTCCCTTGAAGCGTGAACAAGCTTCGCAGCATGTGGTATCCACGGTGCAAACTTGCATGAACCAATTTGAGGCGACAGTAGAGGAAGCCAACAAAAAGCTTAAAGTCATAATCGAAGAAGCATGGATGGACATTGTTGAAGAATGCCTCGAGCACAAACGTCCAATGGCACTTCTAGAGATAGCGGTCAACGTTGCTTGAACAATGGATTTCATGTACAAGCTTGAAGGCGCATTCACCCTCTCATTTAGCATCAAGGACGTTATAGCTTCAATATATGTCAACTCCGTGTGAGTTCATTGATCCAACATTAGTAAGCAAGACTTGTTGGCGTTTGTGGGTAGGCTTATGGTCTGCCAAGGGTACTTTTTACTCATGTAACAACAGGACTTTTAAAACCAGACATTATATGTCATATGTTTAGTGGCTGGCTAAGAGGTGTCAACAAGGATGTGAAGCTTCTACTTCTGCTAGGAACAGATGTGACTTGTTGGTCTCTTTGGCTTAGCTGGAATGATATTAAGAAAAAAAATGTTTCTCCTATGCAGGTTATCTACTTAGTTACCCACTGGTTACGTACTTGGGGCTATTTTGCAGAAGGCGGATTTGCAAGATATAGCTGTAGCGGTATCGCAGCAGTTGACGCAGGTGGCAAAGAATTTTTTTTCTTCTAGGCACGTGAGTGGTTCTAGTTTAAGAATTGATGGTCACTAGAATGTGCCAGATTTTAGCTCTTTTAGTAGTTGTGTGCCACATGTTAGACAGAGGTCGGAAGTTGCTCTTTAAGGCTTTGTATCGTTTCAATGTATTGCTTTTGAGATTTTAAGAAAAGCTTGCTTTATAAAAAAAAAGTGACATGCCATTACAAGTTTGAGGACCGCTGGTGTACCTAACTTTTTTTTTAATTAGGAACCAAGTCCCAACATTGTTAAGAATAACAAAAATGGCATCGATATTACTGTAACATTTGAAACGCAATAATCAAATCGAAAGCACATCGACAATGATTGAATACCATCAAAACCATACTAAAAAAACGATAAACACGTCAATCTACAGCTCATAGTTGGATGCATGTTACATAGCAATAACAGTGCCAGTAGAAAGCAGAATACCAGATCTACTACTTCACAGATATAGGGGCCTTTGACAGCGAAAGGAACAATAAACCTAACATATGAGTACAGTGTAAATGTACTCACTCCGTCCCTACTCGTTTTCGCTTTCCGAGAAACAACTTTAACTAAATATATATAAAAAATTATTATTATTTATGGTACATAATTAATATCATTAGATAGATATTTGAATCTAGTTTTTAATAAATTTTCTAGTTTTTAATAAATTTATTTAGAGATACAAATGTTGCACATATTTTCTAAAATTTAAGTCAAACTTTTAGCACAGAAACCAACTGCGACAATTAATTTGGGACAGATGGAGTACAGTATTGCTAACGAAACTGCCAAAGAGAAGCAGTGCCAACAAGCAACAGACCATGACTGGCTACCAACGTTGGATCCGATGACGTACTGCCCTGATGGCTGACGCAGCATGTGAGAGGCAGCGAACACGTCACCTGACAAAAGTCATGTGAAACTTATGTTCAAGACAAAAGTCATGTGAAACACTCTTGAGCCGTGCATTGGGGCCAAGGTAAGAACCTACTCCTCCTTCTGTCCTAAAATAATTAAGTATCCATCTCGTTTTTCAAAAAGTCAAGTATTTTTAACTTTAACCAAACATATACATGAAAATATTAACATTTATAGTAGATAATTAGTATTATTAGCAGATCTTTGAATCTAGATTATAATAAACTTGTTTAAAGATACAAATGTTGCTAATACTTTCTACAAATCTGGTCAAACTTAAGAAAGTTTGATCAGCACGAATATCATAGCGATACTTATTTTGGGACGGACGGAGTACCACACAGGAATACCATAGCGATACAAAAATGTGTTAACAATACTAGCTACCCGGCTGCCCAACCGCCAACGGCTCATGGGATCGATAAATAAAAGAACTAGAACATATTGCGCGCGTTGTTACGGAGATTGCGAAAAAATAATAATAAAATTAAGTAGAGATGACATGGATAACTTGCATTAAGAGGTTGAAAGTTAGTGGCATGACATGTCTATTAGTGAAAGATAATATAGATAGTTAGTGGAACATGATGTGGATGTCTTGTATGTTGAGATAGAACTTGAGATGGTGTGGATAACTTGCATTAAGAGGTTGGAAGTTAGTGGTATGGCATGGATATTAGTGGAAGATGATGTGGATGTCTTGCATGTTAAGATAGAACTTGAGATGACGTGGACTGCTTGCATTAAGAGGTTGGAAGTTAAGTGGTATGACATGGCTATTAGTGTAAGATGATGTGG